AGAGAGTAAACGTGCGTATATATTACGCGCACGCTTATATGATTCAATGGTTATTTTTGTGTGTTTACAACTGGTTATTAATCAATATTATTCTCTTTTCCATTTGTTGAAACCACGGTGTCTCCTTCCGCCCATTATCATCCGGAGATGATATCGACACAACCAGTCTCTTTCCGCGACATAAATGAGAAAATTTCAAGAAAAACTTTAATTGAACTTTTTTTGATCTGATATAAATTTCAGGATTTCTTCTTTTTCTCTGTTTTTCATTCAATTTTTTTTCTTCTAAAATCAGATTTCGTCCAATTTGAAAAGAGAAATGATCGATCTTCCAAAATCAGAAAACCAACATAATTACCATCAGAAACTACTTATCAGTTTCCCAAAAAATCGATCTATTCGTCTAAAATCCATTTAATCTTCTATTAAAAAAAAATTCCCCGTCATTGACTCCGATAATAGTTACATTACGTTTCTATCTTCCATTTCTAGTTGGCATTTCTGAAAGTGACCATTTCCATATTTTCATAACATTTTAAAAGGCCGATCGATTGCCATGTCAAAAAAATGATGAAGCTTCGCGTCAAGAATCCACGAAATCGAAGAAAAAAAGAGCACTGTAATGAAAAGATTAAAATGAAATGAAGAAGAAAAAGAAAAAAAAATTGGGAATTTCTATTCAAATAATAAGAGCATTGATGTCAGTGAAGTCGATTTTTTCTGTCTTCAAGCAATTCTGACGATTCATCAAGAAGACAAGAGATCATCGACTCCAGATCACCACAATTGAAATGATGGTGTTGTAAGAATGAACCGAGAGAAAGAGGAAAAAAGATACAGGCCACAAAAACCTATTAGATATTGAAATATTCTTTTTTTCCCGAAAAAAAATTATATTTAATCATTTAATGTGAATGAATAATAATTTTTTTTTCTTGGAGTGTGTGTGTATTGTTACTTCAATCGCGTTGTACACGAAAAGTACAAAACAAAATAATAAAAAATATGAAATTCGTAGAACGAGAGGAACAACACAACATACAAAAAAAATGGATAAAAAACGAGTCATGATTTGATTTTTTTCGCATCTTATATCGCGTTTCGTGTCGATTTCTTTTTCGTATATATATTCATTATCATCAACATCGTTTCATTGGCGATTGTCTTTGGCATGCGAGCCCGTCCAGATATGGCCCATCGATGGCAAGTAGTCAGCAGCATTGGTCAACAGAGGCCTCCTCTCTCACTCTGAAATCAACCGAAAATAAAGAGAAAAGAAAACGCCGTCTCCATGTATATAATTGAACGTATAATAGAAATGCTATTTATCATAAACGAAACTATTTTCAATTCAAATTTCGGCATTTTTATTTCTCTTAGTCGATTGCAAGGCGCGAACGCCTGTTGCGTATGTGTGTGTTCATTTCATTTCGGTTGTGTGTTGCTTTTTTTCAGGGTGATGCAGAGTTTTTTACTCTCTTCTATTCTTTGATCATTTCTTTTTATTTTGGCCCAGATTGGAATGTATTTAATCGTGTGGCGGCACTTGCCGCATTTATTTATTGCCACAATGAATGTTTAGAAAAAAATATCCACATCAAAAACACCTTCTTAACGAAAAAAAACGTATCGAATATGAAATCTTTTGACAAAAAAAAAGAAATATAATATGAGCCAAATGAACCTCGATTTACCTACGAGGAGAATGGAGAGCTGACGAAATAAATATACACACTCATACCAAAACAATGAGACAGAGAAGAAAAAACAAAAGCATACAATCGATTTAGTTTGATTTGTAAAAGTTAATTTTGCTTTATTCATCAGGTTAATTTAAATGAATTGAAACGGGGCGTGCGATCGAAAGAAGAAAAAAAAACAGAAATATATTATGAACGAAATTGAAAAAAAGTCGATTTGTAGAGATTGTGAAATGTGCTTATGGACGGTAAATTGAAAATAGACAAGAAACAAAAAAAAATTGTGAGACTCAATGTATGAATTTGAGTGTGAGAAATACGAATCGCATGCTTTCGTCTGTATGTATCATGAATCAACATTCGATGGGTAATGATGAATACGATTCCATTCTCAGAAAAATTATCATCACACTAGTTATGCAATCGAACAATTTTTTTTCTTCAATCACTACCATCTTCTTTACTCTCTTATCTTACCTTTGCAATTCCAAAATTTCCGGTGGCCAGAGAGAAATTTTTGTGCGTATGAATATTTTTTAGATGCATTGTCTTCTGCTGTCAACACAAGAAAAATGAAGTCCAATTTTCTTTTGTTCTAGACCAAAAAAATAATCTGGAGTCAACACCTATTTAACGAAATGTTTGCAAAATATTGTCTATTGATCCTGTTACAACATATACCCTCTGTAACACACAAAATGCATGCCATATTATGGTCATTCGCCTATTTCCAAAATGTGCATTGTTTGTTGGGGATGAATGGCAACAATGCTCGAACGACCAAACAATGAAGTGAAAAGAAACACCGAATATGCAGAGAGAGAAGTGATTCAAAGATAAAGTACCTACTGAATGTTAAGTAATTGATGCGTTTGTATGCTAAGCGCATTCGATTTTCTTTTTTTAAATATCTTTTCATTTGTCCCGTGCACATTATTCAGCAGACAATTATTGGCAATTTGCACCCAAGGATGCTTAGCCCGACCGATTGATTGGAAAACTTAAATAAATCGATTGGCAATACCTAAATCGATCATCATTCAAATTGTGCTGCATCCTTGTGATATTTGCACATTCACCGCTATGCATTTAATTGAATTTATCGTTGCAAGAGCAAAAAAAGCATGCAAGTTAAGTAGGGATAAGATGCAGAATAGATTCTATGAATTATTATTCACATAAATACAAAAAATTGCACAACAAAAGAAGACATCAATCGCATCGACAATCATTTCCCATTCGTGTATTCAATTACTTCACAAGAGCGTATTCTTTTAATTTCCATAAGTTTATTTAACTATACGAAAAAAAAAATTATGGAAATAATTCCATGAGGAATTTTAATGCGTTCGACTTTTTTTCCTTCGTTCATTATTTATGGAAAATTTGCATAAAATATCGTTTTTACTATTATACTATTCGTTTTTTTTTCTCTCCCTCCCAACCCTAACATTGAAGCGATAGGTAACCGTTTTATATTAAAAGTTAGATCGCATGAATTTAAAATCAACATTCAAATTTGTTGTAATATTTGCCCGCATTATTAATGCAGCCGCTCATATTTCATATAAAAATTTAAGAGTTTTATTGTGAATAAACTTCGATTTGGGTTGAAAACTAATCATCAACAGCAAAAAAGGCGGTGTTTGGTTTTTTTTCACTGAAAACTAAAAAAAACTCAAAAATAATCTAAGCATCGAGCTGTAATTGGTTCGTCAAAAATTGTGTGTCTCCTTTTTCCACGGCCAATGTGTGAATTTAAACAGTTTTTTTTATTTTGACAATTTTCACCCTAAAAAAGAAAAAAAAAAACTGTGAATATGCTGAATTGCAATTGGCTCTTTAAACAATGTGAATTCGAGAGAGAGAGCGTGCGATGATCATAGCCAAACAATGGAGTGTTTTAGCATAGAAACACTAACGTTTTCATTGATGTATTGTATAACCTTTCTTTCATTCCTTCTTTCTCGCTCGTTTGTATGCCCATATCTTTCTTCGCAACACACAAACTTATTTTTAGGGTAATTTCGGCGATAATTTAAACGAAACGATCGAAAAAAAGGAGACTCGACGCACGTTTGCTTTTTGCTTCAAATGAATGAAAAAAAAAAACACAAACTCTCGTGTGTAAATGAATCAGCACTGGATTTTATAATTTTTATACATTTTTTGATTACCCCCTTCACACAGTTCTTCCCTTTTTCTATTCAATTTTCAAATATTTTTCGCTTTGGTTTTTTTTTCGTTTCATAACGCAACAGCAGCCGTACAATACATATAGGTTTACTATACACATCTCTAGACACACATATATCCTTTTTTTGTTGATGCGATGCATTGAGAAATCTCCTGCTTTTGCCCTATGTACGCGTGTGTTTTTTTTATAAAAAAAGGGAAAAGCAAACACAAGGTCGATTGAGGAACAAAAAAATACGAAAAATGATTCACTACAAATAAAATCGAATTGAATATACGTGTGATTTAAAAAAACGAGGTCTATTCGAGATCCTTTTTACCTACTTCGCTGTATTTTTTCGATCATTCTTTCTCACTCACTCTTTCGCTTGTGATACACACTTTCTTGAGATTTTTCGTTGTGTGTGTTTATGCGTTTTTTATTCGAATCTCTTGCATTTTTTACGGTCGTTCGATTTAAGAAAGGCTAAACACGGAGCTGATTTACTTCCTAATCGTTTCTTGAATATCAGTTCAATTCGAACAGTCAATGACACAAGAAGGTCCTGTTTTATTTAGATTCTCTAATGTTTGCTTAAAAAACTTTGTTGTGCATTTTTCGGTTGATCTTTGTTTTAGAGAAAAATTTGATTTTGTTGTATCAAAATATAATTTTTGCGTTGCAAAAATTTTTGTGGCTTATTTGTGTGTGGTGTTTTTTTATTTAAGATTGAATCAAAAAATTACGTGCGTTCATGTTTGTTGTGATATTTTTGCGATTTTAATGTGAATAAACGAAAAAAAAAATTGTTAAAAAGAAAAAAATTCGAAATTATTGGTCAAGAAAAAAAAAGCAATAAAAAATGGAAGTACAACCACAATTAAATCAACTCACTCAATTCTGGTTATCGCAACTGAGTCAAATGTATCAATTAAACGGTGCTACAAACGTTCAATCAAATGATAGTGATTATGCGACGATCACCGTCGATCATAATATTCCAACAAACATAAACGCAACGCATGAAAATGATAGTGATGCTAACGTTGCATGCCCACAAACAAAATTAAACATCACCCAATTAGCCAGTTTATTTAATCAAAATAATGAACATTTTCTTACAGCATTGTTAAAAAAGGGTACCATTGCCAATCAATCGGCCACACAATCCACCACACAAAAGCAACAACAGAATGCATTAGTGCCGCCCACACCACCGCGAACACCAATCACTCCGTCCGCTCAGCATCAACAGGTGAGCTTATTTCTTCTTCTCTTTTCGCGTTATTTTACATTTCTACGGTTTTTCGTGTTAAAAAACGTTCGCTCTACACATTTACACATGAAGCACGATTACTGGTTCATTTGTCAGACATCGGCAAATATTCATAGTGCCGCTGAAATGAAAAAAAAAATGAAAAAAATACTGTGCACTCTATTCTCGAGAAATTTTTATTGAAAACAAAAATCAAAACCGAGAATAGGTACGATTGTGTACGATTTTGTTTGCGAATCGTGACGAAATTTAGAGTAAAATGTTTTTTTTTTTTCTCTCTCTAAAAATAACAGATGACTGACGGTGTGAGCGATGACGATGATAATTGTGAGAGCAAATCAGTGGATTCGATGGCGAACCGTAAACGAAAATTAAGCACTATTTTAGGTTCAAATAAGCGAATGCATGTAGAGCAAACGATTAAATCAGAAACCGATGCTGATTCGGACAGCAATCATGAGAACAACGATCGTGCCACCAGCATTAACGATAATGACGACGGTGCCAGTAGCCGAATGAGCGATTTTGATGATGGTATGTCAACTTTATTTCGGTTTTTTGCTTCAAAGATTTGAATTTGGAACTCAGAAATCTGAATCCGGAAAGATTACTTCAATCGAAGTAAAAAATTCAAGTATTGAACAAAGTTTTGAAGAATTTCAACAAAATTTTCGATGTAAAAATAATACCGTCCACGATTCAAGTCACGAATCTCGTATTTTTTTCACGACCATTTGTGTTAATCTAAATATATATATATAAAATTTGTTTTTGGGCAAATAGGAAATGCGTCATTGAAAAATCGTGCGTTCACTGACACCAATGATGCATCATTCGATTCATCGTATTCGGCATATTTGCAAGAAACAAAACAACAATTGGCCAAAGTCGCCCAACAACAACAACCAACGCTCAATTTATCGCAATCATTATCGAACATTGTCGATGTGTCTGGCCTTAGTTTGGCCAAGGATAAATATTTTGAAAAACCATCAATGGTAAGTGTGCATCATTCTTTTTTTTCTTTAATTTTTTTATTGTATTTATCGAACCATTTCCCTCGAACTAATAATAGACTATTTAAATCGATTTACCTTTGAAATGGCTTTTGCACACACTTATTGCATTATACTCAACGCATTTTTCCCCTCGATTATTCGTTCGCATCATTCTCACCGAACGATTTTAGCAATTATGTAATATATGAACACACACACATACACTGGCCAGATCGCACACAATTCAAGAGTCTTGTACGCAATTGAATGCGTACGGAATTGTAAATTAGAAATAGAAACGAAGAATAGAAGAAGAGTGACTAATCGACAATTGTATGTGACACAATAAGAAAGGACAAGGTGATGAAAAGTGTGCTTGGCTGGCGTTTCGGTGTGTGTATACGATACGTATGATGTGTGCAATGCTTAAGAGAGTGTGCAAGACCTTTGACCAATATCGTATAACCATATCTTAATATCTCGGCTAATCGATCAATTTTACCTACCACTACAATTCTATACCGGTTGAACGGATGCTATTCATCTTCAACATTCTATTTATTTGTGCCTTCTTTTTTTTCATCCCTAAAACAGAGTTTTCTTTCGCCGGCAGCGACCGCATTGAAAATGGTCACTATGCAAGGTGACGAAAGTAAACTAATCGGTAAGTAGACACAATTTTAAAATGTCAATAAACGCATACAGTGGGGCATATGTGATGCGGCTTAAGTTGATCATCGAGAATTAAAAGTTCAAAGTGAAGTGCAAATATGTTTCGAATGTTGTGGATTTATATAAAATCAGGCGAAATAAAAGAATGCATAAGTTTGTGAATGAGCACGGAAATGATTAACGAGTTTAATAAAAAAAAATCAGTCTCGTTTGTGTAGTGCGCTTCTGTTTCTCTTAATCGTGTTCGTTTTTTTCTCTCGTCTCCATAATTTTATTCACACAATTTTCTATGAAAAGCGGCACAAATCCATTGCTTGACCGAACAATTCAAATCGGTGAAGCGCGCGTAAAAAAATTGAGTGACCGAATCAACGCTCATCAAATGTAAACGCTTGATTGAAATATCCAGTCGAGAGTACAATCGTGTGCGCGTACAGAGGCGATCATTCACAAGTGTCGTCAAAACCATTGGGTTTTATGAATAAAAATGCTCGGCTTTTTTTTTGTACAAAAAGGCAAACAAACAAATTCATAAAAATGAAGCCCCATGAATCAAGTGGAGTGGAGTGAATTGAATGTGATGCATTTGATGGAATGTGCGTCAAGCACAAAAAATAGCAATAACGACAAACCAGAACGGACAGAATGTAACAGAGAATTGGTGACGAAATTAAACCATAAAAATGTGTGTATATGCGTGCGACAAGCGGACAATACATTCCAGCAACATACACATATTTGTTTTTTTTTTTTTTGTTGAATTTGTGTGTTGTCGTGCGATTCCCACGATTGGTTAATTGATTGTCTAAATTAGGTCTATTACTTTAAATTATCCAGAAGTGGAATCCCATATAACATTTTCGCCCAACTTTTAATACAATTTTTTGTTTGACTTGATCATTTCCGTCTATGCAAACCGATGGCCACAAAGTGCTCGATGGGAGTGATATATATAAACACACTTGTTCCACCGCCAATTTTTTTAACAGAGTGTAGCGCGCTTTTTTATTTTGATTGGATGTATTTGTTAGTTTATCAATGGCATTATCTCGGCCATTCATTTATATCACTGTACATTATTTCCCAACAAAATTTCCATACAAAAATCATAAATAATTTCGTTTTTTTTTTATTCTTTGCTAAATTTATCCGTTTAATAAAAAAACACACGTATGTACGCGCGCGTATGCACACTGAAATCACAATAAATTCAATTAGAAAAAATTAAACGATCCACACAAACGATTTCCGTGCCCATCAATTTTAAGCATTTTAACGCTCGCACATCACGCATATGTACATTTATCACTGCATTTTTTATATATATATATATATATATATTACTTACGGAACCATTTCATTTTGTGTCTTCTCTTAGATTCGGGCAAATATCTGTCGAAATATTCGTCGTTTATGGAATGCAATCATGATCAATGTGCGATCGATAAATTGCGCGAACATTTTCATTGTTTGGACATTTTATGTATGAATGTAAATAAAGTACTGTGCAAACGCGAAGAGGTTTTGCGACATTTGAAATGGCACAAAAAACGTAATGAAAGCTTAAATCATGGTTTTCTTCGATTTTCATCGACCGACGATTGTTCCATTCAATTTGGCGAATGTCAACATAATGGCAAACAAACACATTATCATTGCTTACAAGGAAATTGCGATAAGGTTTACATTTCGACCAGTGATGTTCAAATGCACTCAAACTATCATCGCAAAGATTCGGCTATCATGCAAGAAGGGTAAGTCCAAAGCACATCAAATCTTAACATTTCCGAAAAAATTGGTTTATAATCATTTGTTTTCCATAGGTTCCAACGGTTCCGTGCGACCGAAGAATGTAATGCTGACTTTTGTAGTTTTGCTGGTCAACGCACTACACATTTCCATTGTATTCGTGACAGTTGCAATTATACATTCAAAAATAAAGCCGAAATGGGTAAGACATTTAATTTTTTTGTCGATGAAATGTATCTAATCGCATTTTTATTTCACAAATTTCTATCTAGAAAAACACAAGACTTATCACATCAAAGATGAATTATTGGCACGCGATGGTTTCAAAAAATTCATGAAAAATGAACCGTGCTCATTTGATCGTTGTCGTTTCTCCTTGCAATGCAATCACATTCATTGTGTTCGTGAAAATTGTTACTACGTATTGCATTCGAGTGGTCAATTGTTGAGCCACAAGCGTAAGCATGATCGAATGGATTCAGAACAAGCGTATCAACAATTTAAATTGGCACAAAAGAATGATGACGTTTTGTCGCATGATAACAATGACACTGAAATGAGTGGATCAGAGCCAATGGCTTCAAAAAGTTTGTCACCATTTCCTGGTAACTTATCAACACTTCTATCAAAATATGCTGAAAATGATAATAAAATGGAGGCATTGTTGACCAATGAATCGATGGAAATTTTACAACAACTTCAATTCCAAAAGCAAGCTTTGCTTCAGAGTCAAGCTGCCAAAGCGGCTGTTGCTGCTTCACTCATTGGCAAAGCCAATGACGATGACATTACCGCCGATAATAATAATTACGATGCCATCGATCCATCGGTATTACCAAAGTCATTTATTCAAAATGCCAGTGCCACAATCGGTCGTTCCATTACATCAATCGAAATTGATCAATTGAAACAAATTTATTCAGCCACTGAAACGGCCAAACAAAAACAAATCAATGCCTTATTATTTGCACAAAATAATTTCAATAGCACCGATCAAGCCGAACCACTTAATTTGAATTTAAAAAAAGAGAATGCAAAAGATATGAACGCTTCATTGTTGTCGGCTGTTGTGCAAAAGATACAAAACCAAAATATGCCAACCAATTTACAACAAATCACTTCCATCGATGGGCTATTCAATCGAAAACGTGGCCGACCACCAAAGAATCGCGTCGTTGAAGTCTATGGAAATGTAAGTATGACAGATTTTTTTTATCGAAATTTAAAAAAAAAACTTAAATTTAATTTTTTTGATTCGTAGGTACAAACACAGAATCGGCCACAGGCAATTTTCACCAGTTTTAAATTGGAGAAAAATGGCAAAGCTTCATCACCATTGCCACCTGAAAGCAGTAGTTTTCGTGCAAAAACTCCATTAAATCAATCGCCAGAGAATCATGGCGATGAAAGTAGTGCCTCAAAAGAGTCACCCACCAATTTCTCCGTGCATCGACTCAGTGATTCGGGTGGCAGTGGCTGTGGAAGTGGTAGCAGCGATCGCAAACGTCGTTTATCATTTTCATCGTCACCATCAACTGATAATGAAAAAGTGTCGATTGTTCGTGCCGCTGGTACATTCTTTCCACAGAATTGTGACAATGACAGTGAATCGTCGCCACCGGCTTGTTTGCGACGCAAGTCAAAGGAAAGTGTTGACTATGTGAAAAAATGCTCATTTTCCCATTGCAATCAATCAAACGAATCACATGTTCATTGTGATGATTGCTCTGAGGTATGTATATTTATTATTTTACACCTTTTTACCGTATTAATTAATACACACTTTTATTTCAATTAATTTTTGTCGTATTTGATTAGGTTTTCGATGATGAATCAAAATTGATGGCTCATTCTGTGAAGCATAAAGTATCGGATTCTGGACCAGAAAGTGATCCATCACAAGAATTGATGCAAAATTTTGCCAAACAAATGGCCAAACAATCGGAAATGTTTAATAATATGGAATCGTTTATGAATCCAGCGGCCAGTGTCATTTCAAATTTGGCCTCGTTGGGCCAAAATCAAATGGCAATGGGCGGTGGTGAAGGTGGCTTTTCCGCTTTCAGCGATCAATTGTCTGCCCAAATACAAACATTGTGCTTGGCACAATTGGCCGCCTTATATCAAAACAATCCGATGATGTATCAACACTTGTATCCTTTACTTGGTGCTGTCGAACAAATGAAACAACAAGATGCACAACGCATGTTTATGCCACAAACGGCAAATCCACTTCAAATGGCAAATCCATTTGGTGCATTCGATTTAACCAGCCTTGCAGCGGTAAATGCAAACAAAAAAAGTGCCAACGCTGCGACAAAATTGCCAAAAATGAGTGGCAAAAATGGTGATCCAAAAGGTTCAAAAGCTGGTGGTTCCGGCAGTGAAATGGCATCGAATCGAACATCTGGCAATTTTAAAATCTTTAAAGACGAACCAATTCCAAAAGGCTATCTGAAATTTCGATTTAATGAAGATTGCGGTTTTGCACAATGCGGTTATTCGAATCTTCAGAGTCATTTTCATTGTTGTCGCACCGATTGTCACTACAGTTTCTGTGATAAGACACGATTTGTACAGCATACGGCACGGCATGAACGCTTGGACAAACTGATGGGCGACGACTTCAAACAGTATCGAGCTAATATGAGTTGCGGACACGATGATTGTGTTTATAAGAATAATTTGGGTATGTAATAGAAAACATTGAATCAAAATGTTTGACAATTTTTTATTAATTGATTTTTCTTTTCGTTTTGGCAGGCGCAAACAATAAGTCATCACATTTCCATTGTTTGAAGTGTGAGTTCATATGCTCGGACACAAATAAGGTTGTGGCTCATCGACGTCATCACAGCAAATTGGAATACATAAGCGCTGCCGGATTTCGCAAGGTAGCTAATAATGAACCATGCACACATCAATCAAAGAAATCAGCCGGCGAAAATCTAGATGAAAATGCACAAAATGATGAAGATGATGGAAACAACACTGAATGCATCTATAGCATGAAACAAACACATTATCATTGCTTGATTTGCGATTGCTCAGTGCTTAGTCGGGCTCAACTTAGCTCACATCAACACAAATAGAATTAATGCAATCGAATCCATAGTTTGAACAATTTACCTCAAATCTCGTTCGTATTCATTTGTGCAAAGCAACAAACCGAATCACGACTGTATTAAATATATATTGATTATTAAATGTATCGTAAATAGTTTTTCTTTTTTTTTTTTAAATCGAATCACATCATGACAATCAAGGAAAATCTCCGCACATTTGCTCATTTTTAGTGCAATCATGTCATTTACTTTATACGCCAAATGCTGAATGCAACAACATAAAATTCAAATCAATAAACTTAGAAAATGTGTAAATGCGCGATGAGATTTTTACATTAGAATAACAACAATTTCTCTACATGGTAGAAAACAGAACAAATAACATAAAATAAACCTTCAAAATTTATTATTATATAAATTCGCAATGCAAGCGTCAATATAAAATAGAAAACTTTACAAACAAAACATTAGAAATTACGTATATGTTCATGGGTAATTTATTGATTTAAAGTAATTCTGAGAATGCCAAACGGTATCATTTTTATACAAAATAAAGATTTAATTTAGAATGCAAACAATTTCATTTTTCATTTTCTTATCAATTCCTTTTTCAACTATGTAATTGGAAAAGTTCGTGTTTCATAGTAGACTTTTTAAAAATTGTTATTAAGTTCACAAATTCAATAAACATTTGCCGAATATACTTATTAATGTGTATATGAGGGTTCTTCCTGTGTCTAAGTAGTGTGAGAAGAGGGGATACAGTGAGATTACTCAACCCTGAGGGTTGGAAAACTTTCGATTTGCTAGGGACTTTTTTTAGCTCTTCACATTTTTAGCACTGCATGAAATGCAGAGCTATTGGTTTGGTCGTATTTTTTTTTTCATTTTTTTCAATCTTATCGTATTTATACGACTTAATTCGTTTTTAGTCAAATTAATTCGTATTTAGCCATTTTTAGTCGTTTTCATGCAAATACGATTTTAGTTAATTATATTCAAGCATATTCGATTTTAGCCAAATTTATACGACTTAAAAAGACTAAAAACGACTAAAAATGAATTAATTTGAATAAAAACGAATTAATTTGACTAAAATCGATTGAGCTTATTAATCCCGTGTCGAAAAAAAGTGACTGACTGACTGGTTAGCTGAAATCGACTGAAATTGAATTTTTTTAACTGCAGTCGTCTACCCAGTCGACTTTAGTCGTCTATGTATGTCATTTTAATCAGATGACTAATTTGGGACGTTTTTGTCTATATAGTCAACTGCGATTGAAGTTGAATTAAGTTGTATTTATCTCTACTTTAGCCAAAAACGTCCTAAATTAGTTAACTGACTAGTCAGTCAGTAATTTTCCACGTGGGAATGGCCTGAATTATGGCTGAATTCGGTAAAATAAGGTCTAATCTCAAAATCCCGCTTGCTAACTCTTCGGGTGTAGTACCAAATTTCGCCGGAATTGGTCATTGAAATCTCGATATTTTTCAATATGAAAAATGATTGATTTTCCATATAAATTGGCTCAAAAATGAAGTTTGCCTCCACAGATTTATCATGGAGCGTAATAATGGCCTGAATTCGGTGAATTAAGGTCCAATCTCAATTTCCCGCTTGCTAACTCTTTGGGTGTAGTACGAAATTTCGCCGGAATTGGTCATTGAAATCTCGATATTTTTCAATATGAAAAATTATTGTTTTTCCGTATAAATCGGTTCAGAAATGAAGTTTGCCTTCACAGATTTATCATGGAGCTTATGAATGGCCTGAATTATGGCTGAATTCGGTGAAATAAGGTCTCATCTCAAAATCCGAATAAACCAATTTTTATGTAATCTATAAAGCACTGTTCAGTTCTGTGCAGTGTCGCCATTCCATTTATTCTTCGTTGATGATCTCTGAGTTTCTCTTGAATTTGAATGTTATTTATATTGATTTTGGTTATTTATCGATCAATCAATGTTGCTGAATATTTGACCAGTTCTAATCCTCGTATTCCCCAATCATCCCGTTAAGTCAGATTTTGAATTTCGTGTATGAGCAGGCAGCCACCAAAATGGTTAAAAAATTGTCAAAAAATGTATGGATGTGGGTACTCTGTTCGGACCTATAATTACACCGGTCAACAGAAATTGCTCAAAAACTAATCAGCTCGTCACAGAGACTATTATTTTTATATCCATTTCATGCAGTGCTAAAAAAAATCAGAGTATCATGATTTGCTGCTGCTCAGCATATATCTGAGAGCAGAGAAATGCTAAACTCGTGCGACTAACGCATACGAAACGGATGCACGCACACATGCATTCTCCCCGTTTAAACGGTTATAAACAGTTGATTGGATGTTCAATTCAAAACTCAAAACTTAGTAACCAGTTGAGTTTGAAATTGTGTTGCGACCGATTTATGAGAAGCTGCGAGAAAAACATCACATCGCATCCCTCGTTATTTTGCTTACGTAAGTGAAAGCAAGAGATGAGATGCGACGTGCTGTTTTTGCTCTCAGTCTTTCATATATTCTGAAAGTGTACGTCTAACGCATACGAAACGGATGCACGATACATATTCCCCTTTCACTTCGTATGTTCGCTGGTATAGTGTGTTACCGTTGTACCGGCAATAGCGTCAACGGCAGCACATACGAAGCGAAAGGGGAATATGTATCGTGCATCCGTTTCGTATGCGTTGGCCGCACGAGTTCAGCATTTCTCAGCTCTCAGTAATATGCTGAGCAGCAGCAAATCATGATACTCTGAAAAAAATTAGTTTCTTGTAAACAAACTAAAAATATGTTTTTTCTTTAATATAATAAAAAACTATAACTTTTGAAATAATTAAGTAAAATCCATCAATAAGTTTTCTGGTCGAATCAGGTATTTAATCATCTTAATAACAAACGAATCTCCTAACGAGCACATCGGGTAATGTTTTATATGTAAAACACCTAATTACGGCACATACACACATAGGATGGTATTTTGTTAATTATGAATACAAATGTTGTCCTTTGCTAATTGTAATTAGTAAATGAGATATACGAGCTGTTGACTTTATCAATCTTGGTTACGATGTTTATTCAATCCTGTTATATTGACTAGTGAAGAACAAATTCCGAGACAAAAAAAAACACAAATTTTCCATTTAAAAAGAAAGAGTATAATTTTACAAATTCACGTTGCTCTTCAAAAATTAAATAGTTTTTTTTTTAATATTTGCTAAAAAAAATTGCGTATTCATTGAAAAATTGATATATAGTGCTAATTGAGTTATCGTTGAATTTCGATACAATGGAAATGAATATTGGAACGATCTCTGGTCCAGAACAGAGCTCGCAAAAGCATATTCTGAACGCATTGAACGATGATTGTGTTCAAGAAGTACTTCGCCGGCTACCGAATCTCGGTGACTTAACAAATGCAGGCGAAGTATGTGTACGATTTCAAGAAAATGCGCTACAATGCGCCCGTTCACGATTTGAAATTTTTCGCATCGATACAACCTATGACGAGGCTTATGGTGTTTTGTTGCCAAGAATAAATTTCATTCTAAAAACTTTTGGCCATTTGATCAAAACACTTGAATGGTATTTCGATAACAATTATCGGAAAGAGAATATACAATTATTCAAGAATATTGGCAAATTTTGCGGAAAGACATTGAAATCCCTAAAGATTTGTGGCGAAAATATAAATGGAATCACAAATGTCAACTTTATGAATCTATCAAAGTTTAAGGCATTGGAAGAATTAAGACTTCATTATATTTCGCACAAAAGATTGCGTATACCATCAAATATGCCATTGAAAAGTTTGACACTATTGTATGTGGACTTTAAATGGAATTTTACCGATTTCTTAAGAAATATGCCGCAATTGGAAGAATTAAATTTGGGATTTCTGAATGAACCAACATGCATCAAGTTGAACGAATTTTTATCATTAAATCCACAATTGAAAAAAGCTGAATTTTTGACATTGGACAAATCAATTTTGAAAAATATCAGCAGCGCAGTGCCAAATCTAACCTATTTACAGGTGGTCGATTATGATGGTTTTAAGGATTGGCAGTACAACGATGATGAGGACAGCGATGATGAGAATATGGATATTGAATACGACGACAATGCGTTTGATGAAGAGGAATACAACGCAAATATTTTAAGCATTGCTGGACTTCGTCATTTGAAAAATTTGACGATCACTGGTTGTGAATCGGTACCCAGCGCATTTATCGATTCACTTGTCAAACATAAAACAGCCATTGAAGCGTTAGACATCGTTGGAACGCCAATTTCCGATTTATCAGACGCTGCACTCAAACTAAAATCGCTTAAACAAATCACACTCTACGAAGCAAACGACATGGATTTAATGACATTCATCAAAAATATGCCAGCCTTGGAAATTATAAACTTAACTTGGTCAACGGTTACTCTGGCCGGAATGCAATTGGCTTTGAAAAATGCCAAAAAATTAGTAGAGCTAAATATTTTCTGCAGCAAAATAGTAATCAGTTTTGAAGACTATAATTCGATTTTAAACGTTGCGAAAGGACATTTTAAGATCAATTTTAAATGTTATCGCGGTGAAATTGTTATTGACAAAGACATTTTGCATGCAAATCGCCAATGGATTGATATTAGAACGGAAATTGAAGAGATCGATAGGGACACATATTGTACTTCGACTATTTAATTCATTCATGTGTGTGAGGAAAATTTTTCAGGATGGGTGATTCCGTTTTTTAGATCACTTTTTTCAGTGAAAAATCCTGGCAAACTCGAAAAATTTTCTCGTCCAAATCACAGGGGGGTGAACACCCCTTCGCACACTAATGATTTAATTAAAAAAAAAAAAAAACTTACTTACCCATTTCATGTAAAACTTTATAATAATAAACTACCATTCAAAAAAAAAAAAATATTTGTTTGTTTTTATGCGGTCTCATTCGCCATATTTTTTTATTTCTTTAGTTTTTGTCATATAAATTAATACATCATATCAAAAAAATGTTTATTGCAAAAAAATTTGAACATGATTTTCTTACAATGTATATTGATTAATGTTATTTCTTTTGTGTTTTGGTACGTTAAAATTTGTGTTCGGTTTTCATTTTCTCTCCACTTTATTGGTCATTCTCTGTATGAATATTGCTATGTTCAAAAGGAATGTGGACAAATAATGATGTAACATCACATCGATCGATTTGAACACTGAAGTTCTATTCAATTTTATCTACTTAGAAGAAATACTAGTGAGTTGTTTGTTTTATGGGTGGATATTCAAAATATGACTGTGGGTTAATTTATGCGCTGTAAAATCGAACTTAAAAAACAGCGAGGAATTTAAAATTCAATCTCATGAAATGAACAACCTTTGTGTTACGGATTAAAATTTAAAATCTAAATTTTTTTGTATTTCATTTAGAATTAATGATATTTGCCGGTTTTTCTCTCAATTCGATGCAAAGTATATTTACAGTTCTCCATAAAAATGTGCTGCAATCAGCTTGAGTTGTTGTTGTTGTTTTTGCTTATAAACTAACTTTTCTCTAATCGATTCATAATTTAGGCATGATTTATTTGAAAAATTGATAATTCACTACTTGATTTAAGATAAATAGAATAATAAATTAGCTTATCGAAATTAGAAATTCACATATTTCGCATATTTTGCAATTGGACCATAACGAAAATGTGATGAAAATTAGAATTTGAGTTTTGAAAAAAAGCTGGGGTGATTTTCGTTCCCCTCAAATGCTGAGTCTTTTGAAAAGAGAATCGACATTGTTTTCTTAAGTGGAATAAATTATCTACGTTGAAAATGAACCGAAAAGAAAAGCTTTGAAAATTTCGATGTAGTTTCGTCTAATGTCAGTGATTTTGGTTCCGATAAATCATGGTGTCAAGTTGTCAGTTTTCGCTTTTTTTTAAATTAAAATTGTGATACTTACAATATTGTTTAGATGATTTATTGGACGATGCAAGGATCATGTGACGATTTTTATAGATTTCACTGCTGTTGCACTGCGAATGAACGGACATTCGATCCATGTTCAAGCATTCGTCTGAACTGTTGATCGCCATATTTGCATCCGATTTTGATATTAATGTGGTATTGCTTAAATTTGATTGTGATTTGACACATTTCATTGGCATCGATTGTCGTGCCATCGATTGATTATTTGATTGCTGCTGCTGCTGCTGTTGTTGTTGTTGCTGAAGTTTTTGTTGTTTTTGTTGCTTTGAATGTGCTTGCGGTTTTGGATTTGTATTATAAAATTGTCGCGATGCGATTTCACGATAACATTTATTATTGCTCTCTCGATCCAATGAATGATGATGTGATTTATTATTTTGATTTTCGGACGTATTTGTGTATGATGAATTGGATGTGTGTGTTCGATGTGGTGAATGTGATGATGAAATTGATGATTGGCGACCATCACGTTCAAGTGTTCGATTATGATCGGACACATTGTCACCATTGCAGCCATTCATATCAACAATATGCTGATTGGATGACGATGGAGTCATCGAAATTGAATTTATTCGAATTGTTGAGCCTTTCCTACTTGGACCATTCGACGGAGCATCACATTGTTCATCTTCTGCAAAAAAAAATCAAAAAACAATTTTTTGGTTTAAATATTTTTTTTCGAATTAGTAGAATATTGAATAAACCTACTTCGTTTTTGATTCTGATACCAAATCTTCAATCGATGGCCAATTTCAGCAAATGATGGACGCCTTACGGCTTGTTCATGCCAGCACTCAACCATCAACGAATAGACTGCACTTGGGCATGTGTCTGGACAGGGCAAAAGTTGTCGTGATCTAACCATATTGATGACTTCTTGATTGCTGTATCCATAATATGGCTGAAAATATGATGGTTTATGTGTGAAATGGTGATTAGGAAATGAGCATGGAAATTGAAAATAAATTGTAAAATCAATATATAACCGTACCTGCAAGCCATAACTGTAAATCTCCCAAAGAACAACCCCAAAACTCCATACATCACTTTCTGTGGTAAATTTACCATATAAAATTGATTCAGACGGCATCCAGCGTACGGGCAATAATGATTTCGATTGGACCCGATAATAGTCGGAACTGTAAATATCGCGCGATAAACCAAAATCCGAAATTTTTACGGTTAAATTGTCGCCGACGAGACAATTTCTTGCGGCCAAATCTCGATGCACATAATGATGACTGGCAAGATATTCCATGCCATCGCAAATCTGTAAGCTAATGTGCAAAAATTGTGTTTGATTCAATGAACCCATACAATTTTCGCTCGGTGCACGTGAGATAAGAAATTCGTGTAAATCGCCCTGTGCCATATACTCAAACAGCATGCATAACGGTTCCTCTTTCAAAACAACGCCCAAAATGCAAACGATATTATCGTGCTTTAAATCGGAAATGAGATCGATTTCACGACGAAAATCGGCTTGTGTCTTGGCCGATGCATTTTCTTTGAGCGCTTTCACCGCCACATAAATTCGTTCGCCATTCGCTTGAGTTAATTCACCTTTATACCTTCATTGCGAGAAGACAAGGATAACACCGTTATAAATGCAATACCTTTTGTATATTCAATATCGCCAATACTTACACTTTGCCAAATGCACCTTCGCCCAATTCTTCAACAAATCGCACATGATGCAACATATACTGACGTACACGTAATGCTGAACCACGAGAGCTACTGCTTCGGCATCCACCACCGCTGCCACCGCCTCCACCACCATCACTTGTACACAAACTAGTCGTATCATCGTTTCCCGTATCGGAACTTTTTATACTGCCACAAATTGAGCCGCCACCATTGGTTTGACTCGGACATTTGTACAGACTAAATGAATTATTGCGATGCGATGAATACGACGATGAATGCTGTTGCTGTTGTTTTGGCGGTTTACCATTCTGTATAGACGCAACATGTTGTTGGTTTTGAATCGATGTTATCGTCGCATTTGATTCATGGTTGACATTGGCATTACCATTGCTATTCCCATTTTCCGGTTGATTTCCAACGCCTACACAACCACCACCACCACCACCACCACCACCGCCACCGCCAACCGTTAGCAATGATGTCATCTCAATTGGCGAATTTAACCGAGAATTTCCATAAATATTTTTACCCGTTCCACCAACATTGATCTGTTTTCGTTGCCGAAACAGAGACCAGAGACATGGATAGAGAGAGAGAGAGAGAGAGAGAGAGAGAACGTTAAAGAGTACATTTAAAAGATGCAATATGTTATAATTATTATCTTTTTATTGAAAAACAACAAATATTACACTATTAAGAATTGTAAGATTCTCAGATGCCCATTTCGAAAGCAATGCTTTCATCCTCAGTGAGTTATAGGAGACAACTGAATTTGCTAAACATATTTGAATGATTGAAAAATAAAAGTTACTTGATATTCCATTCGACATCGGATTTAAATTGTTGACAATATTTTCAATGGATTCTTATGCAAAACTCAAAAAACAAAAAAAGTGACAAATATTACTATGTTTGATTTTAAATGATAATTTTCTTAAAAATAGGATGTAAAATGACTCGTGCGCATCTAACTCATTACATTTTACATTCATAAAAACATTAACCATTTGATGAATCAAGACGATGGACCAATTAAAGATCCTATTTTTAAGAAAATTATCATTTAAAATCAAACATAGTAATAT